CACAAACACAACAAATAACGCGAAGTACAATTAAACCTCGATAAAGTAATATCCTCGTGACAGTAAAAAAATATTCAGTTATCGAGATTATTTATTTATTGACTAATGAATAATTTATTCATTTATTGATAAATAAATAACCTCGCTAAATGAATATTTTTTCCGGTCCCGATGGTATTACTTTATCGAGGTTTAACTGTATTTGTTTGTTTGTGTTATATATTTAAAAAACTAAATTATTGAAAAAAATAATTCTTATTTTATGTATATTTCTGTGAGTTAGGTAGCCTTATCGTCTAAATATTATGATTATTTGAAATGCTTAATGATGCATAAATGTGAATATAGGTGATGCAATTTTTTTATTAATTTAATACTTATTCATGTTATATTGTATTATATTGAGCGTAATAGTCATGATTGATCGATTTGAAAGTTTGGATTGGTTAATTGATAGTATAAGTTGAATGAACTTAGATCTTTATAAACCGTGATCATAGTAGAAGTACAACTACTTAACCTATTTTAAAAATAGTTTGGGGCGGTTGATCTAAAGTTGGAAGCTATTTAGATAAATGTTAATTCCGTATTTGTTGAAAATATTGTGTTGAATGTTTTTGACTAACATGTGAAACCTAAGTAGTGACTATACATTAGGGGTTTGATCCCAATTACTTATCCCAAATAATAAAAGGTAATTTACTTGTTGTGATACATAGGCAAAAGTTACCTACATTGTTTTGTGCAGTTGGTTTTGAGTAATTCGACCATATTCATTACTAATGTTTTCGAGATAATCTACCATGGAAGAAAGGTACCTGCCACAAAGAGCGAAAACTAGCTTCAAGAATCAAAGAAAAGATTCCAAAAATAGAAGAAGGGACACAATGAAATATAAAAAGAAGATATTAACACACAAAATTATGTTGAGGGAGTCGCAAAATATTTATAATAATTGTTTCTGTCTGGCTATGTTTTGGATAATTAGTTTGGGATTTAGATTTCTCGTGAGAGTTATTAGTTCCAACTTAAAAGCTCATGATTATTATATTGACTATACATACACATCGATCAAGTACGAAATAAGTAAAGAATGAGTTTTAGTTGCATTATTTATGAACTTTTGTGAATTGTCAAATGATTTTAATACTTGGTGTGATTTCCGTAAATTTTATATTTAATGTTATATCTTCTGTTGTTTGCTTGTGTGTTTAATAGATAGTCTTGTTTGGAATGAACAAAAGTTGAAGTTTCGGGATATCGTTGAAAAAGTTGACTAATGAGTTTGGATTATTGTCCCACGAATACTATTGTACTCAATTGTTAATTTTAATAGGTCTAATTTACATTTGGCAATTACAAAATTTCAAATGAGTGGTTTTAATTATTCTACTAATGTTAAAAAGAAAAGAAAAGTATTACACATGTTGGGTAGTTGACAATCACATTTTTTACAGTTATTTCGATGATTAAAAGTTCTATGACTCACATTTCACCTTTATCCCCTGGTTTTTAGCAGACAAGGTGTCACAAACCGCAGTTTTACTTAAACCCCGTGACCCTATCGCACCCGTAGTTTTCCCAACTTCGACTGCATATTGTAAATATTTTATTTCAA